TGTTATTTATATTGTACATAAACGATCTTCCAGCTGCATCAGCGTTTTTTGACTACGTAATTTATGCTGATGACACGAATGTTTTTAGCAGCGGCAGATCAATGAAAGAACTTATTGAAGAAACAAACAGAGAGTTAAAAAACATAATCTCTTGGTTCGAAGCCAATAAACTTTCAATTAACAGTTTAAAAAGCCAAATGATGGTTTTTGGACCCGTACAATATCTAAATTACAAGGAGCCGTATAAAATCATCCTAGGTAACAACACAATTGTTGAAACAAAGTGTTTAAAACTTCTAGGCATGCTGCTCGATCTGAAACTCTCCTTCAAACATCACATAAAACAAGTATCATCCAAACTTTCAAAGTCAATAGGAATGATAAACAGAGTAAAATCATTTTTGCCAAAAAACTGTTTGAATCTTTTGTATAATTCCCTGTGCATTCCATTAATAAACTACTGCAACATTGTATGGGCTTCATCGTACCACACATCAACCTTACCAATAGAAATATTAATCAGAAGAGCGGTTAGATTGATAACGAGATCCAAACGATTTGAACACAGTCAACCATTGTTCAACAGCACGCGAAACTTGAATTTCTCGAAACTCAGCATTTACTTTCTGATGATTTTTGTTTATAAACAGTTAACCAATCGATTACCTGATTTATTTAACAGTTATTTCAAGATGAAACAACAATGTCGGCAACAAAATAATCTTGTCTCTAACAAATCGAAAACGAATATTTTGTTTTCTCACGTGTATTGCAAGGGACCGAGAATCTGGAACAAAATTTTAAACAGTGGATTTAATTTTGAATTTATTTCGTTAAACAATTTTAAAAAAAAGTTAAAAGAATATTTACTTAAGTTTAAAACATAAATTTTTAGTTTTTGAAATTACGTTAAAATTCTGTTGAAAACTTATAACATTTTAAAAATTATGTCAAGGTGGTCACACTCGATGAGTTTATGAAAAGAACTCTACTGTGGTCATCCTGTCTTCTTCCTATTGATATAAAGGGGAGAGAATTCTTTTTTTCTTTTTTTTAGATTAATTTTGAGAAGCAAATAAAAATTCGTTTCGTTTCGTATGTATGTATGTATGTATGTGTGTGTGTGTGTGTGTATGTGTGTATGTATGTGTGTGTGTATGTATGT